ATCCAGTTCTGTCTCAGAGTATAGAGTTCTCTTCATCACTGACGGAGGGATGGCCCTCCCAGTGCCCCCACTCAGGCAAAGGGAATGATTTTCCCAGGGGTGCTGCGCATCTTCCCTGCACAGGGAGGCTCACGGCAAGCCTACCATGCCAGCTGCACCTTTCTCTGGCATGGAAGCCAGAGGCAGTTTGGTGTGTCCTTGGAGACAAGACATTCCTCGCCACACTGATGGTGATAATAGTAACAACAATAATTTCCAGAGCATTAACAACATGCCAGGCAAGATGCCAGGTCCTCTGGGGCATGTTATCTTGAATCCTTATTAGAATCCTTTCTCCCAGGTGCATATGTCCCCATTTTACAGAAGAGGCTCAGGTAGATGCCAGGACTGTGTGGTCCTAAGCCTGGCTCCAACGGACAGGGCAGGAGGGAACTGAGGGTCCACAATCACATACCCCAGAGGAAATCCTCACAGCCTTCTTCTCCTACTCAAGAAAAATCCTGCAAACAAATTAGGCTGCGTTAGCCCAGAGCCTGGGGAATAGAGGGTGAGCCAGGAGTCAGCTGTGAATAATGCCTCCGTTCAGCAGCAGATGACCGCAGCTTCAGGAAGGCCTTTGCTTACCCTTCTACCTGCAGTCAAGGTGCTGGTGTTAAATGGGGGGGGGGAGGGGGGTGCCTTCCCAAGGGCTGGAGGGTCCCCAGACTTGGACTGGCAGGATGAGCCCTTACTTAGGCCCTCGAATCCCCAGGGAAAACACTACGGCCTTTTCATAAGGCAAAGCGCTGGCTTTGCCTTCCGAGCAGATCCATTAGCAGGACAGGCCCTCTACCCCCGGGGGTGTGGGCAGAGGTGTCTGCACCTCCGGGTTAGATGGATGGGGGCCTTGCCAGCTGGGATGCCTACTGGCAGAGGACATGCCTGCTGGTAACTGGCACCCCAAAGCAAGGCCTGTGGGAGTCCTTCCAAGCTGGGAGAAACAGCAGGCAGAAATGGCTGGAGCCTGACTTTGCTCTCCCTGGGCTGTGCCACACCCCTACTGTGCCGGTGCAGGTGCTCTGAGGAGAGGTGAGCCTCCCTGGAAGGCCTTTCCCGGTGTAAACACTTCCAAGGAAAGGAATGTGCTGGAAAGAGCCAGGTTGGGCCACTGGAGCTGCAGCCAGCTGGGGTAGATTTACCAAAAAAAAAAAAAAACAAAAAACACCCTAGGACTCAGTTGTTTTTTTTTTTTCTTTCCCTGAAACTCAATCAAAGCCTCGCCGCCCACCCCGCCTTCGGCGGGTGGGCGCATCCTACCTGGGCAGGGGAGCCCAAGGGGACCCTCGCAGGCGCGGCGGAGCCCTGTAGCTCCGCTCGCCGAGGCGAGGCCGCCCGGGCAGGCCCGGCCGGCGGAAGGGCGCCGCGGGCC